TTCCTTCGCCATCTTGATTAATTAATTCGCCTGACTCTAGCTTTGGTCTCTCTCTCGCCGGTGCTGTTAGGTTTTGGTAAATTGAGGGGAGAGATTTATAATTGAAGAGGGGGCGGAGAGAGAGAGTGGGGACTGATTACAGCGAGTCCACGTGGTGGTCATCATCATCAATGGGAATCAACTAGGGTTGACAGGCTGGCAGCGGGTGGGTGATGCGGGGTAGAGGAGGGGGAGCGGGTAAGGTTATCAGCTCTTTTTTGGGCTTTGGGATATTGCCTATTGGTCATTTTGGGGTGTGTGTGTGTGTGTTAGGGGTTGGGATATTTTGGGATGGGATAATTTTGGAGAGAAAAATTTCTTAAGGATCCAAAATATGGGATCAATAGGTGGGACAAGTGAGGTGTCCCCCTACTATTGGATAATGAGTTGGCCATCATTAATGATGGCCAACTCATTATCCAATAGGAGGGGGACACCTCACTTGTCCCACCTATTGGTCCCATATTTTGGGTCCCTGTAGCAAAGCTCTTTTGGAACACTAGTGAGATAATTACATCACTTGGGATAAAATTATCTCACTCATATACAAAAATTTTGTCCCAATAGTAAAAAATTACCTCATCCTCCATATTGAAACAATATTGTTCCACTTTGAAGGCAATTGGGATAATTTTAAAATATTTTTGTATTACTTAACTAATACATGCAATTATATTATAATATTATATAATATTTTAGTAACATATATTAATATTTTAATAACATAATTTAATAACATATACTAATAATATTATATAATAGTAATTATAGTATAATGTATTTATTATAATATTGTAATAACATATATTAATAATATTATATAATAGTAATTATAGTATAACGTATTTATTATAATATTATATAATATTTTAATAACATATATTGTTATATAATATATTATTATATAATTAATTTATAAGATATTATTATATATATGTGCGTGGGTTCTTTGCCGGTGCCGGGGTTAATCCGTGGACGACCGCGAATCAGATCCGGTTGATGGGAAATTGGGCAGAGCTTCTACCTCACTAAGGGGGTATTTGCTTGAAGTCCTGAAATCGACAAAGCGATTTCAGGGCTCTTCTCGAGATTAAGACAAAGCCTAATCTCAAGGAACGGACGTACGGGCTTCAGATCATTCGAACGGCTTCTCCTTTGTGCTGAAGTTCGCCGGGATCTCGCTGTCCTTCGCTGAAATTTTGTGCTCCTTCACTCTCCAATCCAGCAGCACATCGTCCTCTTGATAAAATTCCAGATCTCAAAAATGGAGGCCTTTGGCTCATATTTATAGGCCTCAAAATGCGGTTATTTGGATAAGAACAAGGGATATGGCTCTATCTTCAGTCAACAGCAGCCTAACAACGTTTAGGGATGATCTCAAGTCAGTTAAGAACCCCTGGAACCGATAAACCCTGCAAAAAACCAATTTAAAACTGTCAAAACGTGTTTTGGGACTTTAGACTGCGCGGCGAAACGATCTGACCCGCGCTCGCGCGGGTCAGAATAATCCGACCCGCGCTTGCGCGGGTCGGAATCATCCGACCGGCGCTTGCGCGGGTCGGAATAATCCGACCCGCGCTTGCGCGGGTCGGAATCATCCGACCCGCGCTTGCGCGGGTCGGATTGATCCGACCCGCGCTTGCGCGGGTCGGGTCATTCCGTCCTGCGCTTAGCGCGGGTTTGCCGACTTTTTCCCCTTTTTTGTTTCTTTCTTCCGGGACTTGTTCTTGTCGCGTATTCGATAGATTTGTTGATTTGTATGCTCCGTCGCGAGACCAATCGTTGAACGCGCGTTGGTTAATGTACGCGTGCTGATCGATGAGCGCGTGCTGATTGACGTGCGCGCGTTGACCGGCGCGCACGAGGTGGTTTGTCGTGTGCGCGTTTGACCGGCGCGCACGAGTTGGTTGACGTGTGCGCGTTGACTGGCGCACACGAGTTGGTTGACGTGCGCGCGTTGACCGGCGCACACGAGTCGGTTGACGAGAGCACGTTGACCGACACACACGAGATGATCTGACGTACGTGCGTTGACCGGCGCGCACGGGTTGAATGGTGTGAGTGCGCCGAGCGACGTGCGCGAGCTGATTAGGTGAATCTCTTTGACTCGCTGATGCGGCATAAACATGTACCAAAAAGGTTGCGAGTGCACAACCGTGTCAAGTTATAGTATTTAAGATATCGATCCCACGAGGAAGGTGTTTTGTAGGAGAAAATATGAAATCGGTTCTTATGTTGTGTGCGTGACAAGTAGGAGTGATAAGTGAATGTGATTGTGAAGAGGTTGAGAGAATGAAAATGGTGTGTGAATAGGTGCAAAGTGTAAGTGAGAGTGGAGTATGATCAATAAGGTGAGAAGGAAAAATGAATAAAAAAAATCAAGAATGAAGAACAAAATTTTAGAATAAAAGAAAATGCAAGAAATTAAAGATGGTGGATTCAATTATAGATATGGATAATCTAAAATTGAACCCACTTCTTAGAAAAGGGTGATTCCCTAGAGGGTTCTAGCCTAAAGGCGAATCAAACAAAATAAAAATAAACAAAAAGAAAAACTAAACCCAAGAGGGTTCTAGCCTCAAGGTGAATAGTATAAGAAATTAAAATCTAACTACAAAATAAATTGCAAAATCTAAACTACAAAATAAAATTACAAGAATTAAATGCACGAAAATAAATCTACTCTATAAGCATAAAATAAATCTAAGGCAAGAGGGTTCTAGCCTCTTGGCTATTTAACAAGAAAATAAAATCTAACTACAAGCATAGAAATAAATCTAAACTAATAAGCAATAAAAGAGAAAAAAAGAAATATGTTATATGGTGAAAAAATAATATATTTTGATGTTTGGATATGATAAGAATTGATTTGAGATCAATTCAATGTATATTTGTGAAAATATGAGTGCAAATGCACAAAACATGCACAAAGGCCAAAAGAGTGAAAATCTGGGAATAATAACCAGTTATGAGTTTTTATGTTTTGCACACCGATGCAGTTAGAATTTGGAAAAGTGTAAAAGACCAAAGTTGTAGGTCTCTTCCGCAGCTTTCCAACAAGTCTTAGATCACCTCATTCTGAGTTCGGATGAGAAAGTTATAACCAAAATACCGAAGGGATATTTTCCTAGTCAGACTAGGTTTCCTGGTCTCGCAATTATTTGGGAGGCGGAATTGAACTCCGAAAATTCCAAATCTGACTGAAAATGCCGCTCAATTGTCCGGGGAATGAAATCGAACTCTGAACATTCCAAATATGAACAAAAACACCGTGAAATTGTCCGGGAGATGAGGTTAACCTTCGAAAATTTCGAAAACGGACGAAAATACGGCGAAACGGGCACTAAACCTGGTCTGACCCGCGTTCACGCGGGTCAGATGAATCCGACCCGCGTGATCGCGGGTCGGAATGATCCGACCCGCGAGCACGCGGGTCGGACACAAGTCCGACCCGCGGAACGCGGGTCGGAATTTTGGGAGAAGGGGGTAAAAACCCCATTTCTTTCTTCCTTCTTCCTCAGTTTCGGTTCCAGCTCTTGTTCGGGTTTCTTATTCAAGGTCCGGTCTTTTGAGAGCTCTAATCATCCAAGGATTCTTCTAAGATCGGAACTCCTCAAGCCTTTTAAATTACCTCCTGCCCCTCTTCAAAGATTCTTCTTCTCTAGGATCAAAAACCCCTCGGAAGCTCTTGGACTTGGCCGAATTTGTCATCTCTTCAAAAGCTAGGGCTTGGCAATTTGGGGTTTTCCTCTTCTTCAAGCTTCAACCTTCTTCAAACTCAGGTAAGCTTCTCCTCATTGCTTTGATTTCAGTTTTGAATTCTTGATTTTGAACCCATGGGTTTTGATGGTTGAAGCCCTAATCCCTGAAATTTGGAGAAAAGAACTGAAATTTGGTTGAACCTTGGGTATTGGCCGAATTTTGGCTTTGGTTGTGTTTGTGATTTGCTATTGCAGTCCCACCTTCTTTGATCTTGGGGGAGAACCAAATTTTTGATGAACTCACCCATGGCCGAATTTTCTTGAGCTCTATTCTTGAATTTGTGCCAAGAATTGAAATTGGTAGCTAAAAACTCATTGTTGGCCGAATTTTACTGTTCATGGCCGAAATTTCTAGACTGAACCTGTGCATGTATTTGAATGAGAATTCCCTGAATTTGGTTGCACGTGTCGAACATGGTATACGATTGAATTCGAACTCGTATATAATTGAACTCATGTGTATGATTGAATTCAAACTTTGTACATAGCCAAGCTCTTGTATATAATTGACTTTGTGCATGACTTGAATCCGAACTCGTATGTGGTCGAATGATTTGCTTCTGAACTTGGCTTGTAGTCGAATGACTCGAATTCGTACTTGTATGTGGCCAAGAATTGACTTCGCATATAATCGATTTCCTTCGTTTGAACGAGTCCTTGACTCTCGATTTTGATTTTATGTATGCCTCGAATCCAAACTTGTATGTGGTTGAGAACCTTATACGCCTTAAGTTTGTACATGTGTGAGGACGAGACTTGACTTGAACTCAAACTTGTACTTAACCAAACTTTGTATATATGATTGAATTCGTGCATAACTGAATTCTTGTATATGATTGGGCTTGTGAATATGACTGAATTTGTATATGATTGAACTCATGTATATAGCCGATTTTTTTTTTTTTTTGGTTGATGACCCGAATCTGATCTTGTGCATGGCTCGAGTTATTTGAATTCGAGCTTGTGTATGGCTCGAGAACTTCATATGCCCTGAATTCGAGCTATTCTTGTATATGATTGAGCTT